AGAATAAGCAATAATTTCTATGGCCATTCTAAAACTGTTTCTAAATAAGTTTTGTAAAAAGATAGAAATCATCAATATTAATAATATAAATCCTGAATGGCTAGAGGTTAAGAGAGGAAGACTCTTGCCTATTTCTTAATAAGTTTGTTACTGGTCATTCTCAGAAATAAGTGAACAGACTAAATTGATGGTGAGCCTGAGCCAGTGGAGCAGTACCTGTTCGCTATATTCATCCAGTACTCTCAGGTAGTCAGCTCTTATTCAAATTATATTTGAAATGCTTATGAAAGACAAGTTCATAAATAAATTTCTTCTTGGCAGATGAAAATGGATAATTTCCCTTAAGTTCAATTAATGAAGAGCAGAGATACTAATTTCTTTAGTTAAGGGGAAAAAAAGCCCCCCAAATCTGTTTTCATCATCTGCAGAGGATTTGCCTTTAAAATCATTAGAAAAAAAATGTCTTTTTTCATCCTCTATAATAAATGTTTCACATGGTTATGATTCAATATGTTTTACACTACACTGGTAATTCTCATTATTCTTCAAATATCACATTTGAGGAGGTTAATACACCATTAACATGATTAACTTTTTAATAGAAGTTAAGCCATATGGAACCAATCTGCACCATGCGGCCATATAAATGACTAGATAGTGAAGGTCAGCTTCTGCCCCGCTGCACCTGTGCAACTTCACTGGCTTCACTTGAATTTGCAGGCCTAGACCAAGGGAGGAACATGTTTCTCTCTACAAACTGACAGTATGAGCAATTTTTTATTTCTCCCCAAAACAGGGATAATCCATAGAAAGGCAGCGATGAATCGATACGCTAGACATGTCTGCACACAACCTGCAGAAAACACTCCTCCAGATAAATTTGCGGTCATGGATATGAATCACATCCTTTAACGCAGTTTGGTAAGGACAGTGAATTTTGTTCATTATTTCTCTGTCAGTCATTAAATCTGTAAAATACAGAGTAGCTGAATGAACAGTGCAGTTGCTCGAAGGAGCAGCACCGTTGTTTCCCGCAACTTTTAGCCCCTGCCAGGAATACAGGGACCATGCCACACAACTCACTGTTCTGAATCAGATCGGCTGATCCCAAGGTCCTGAGACCGCAAAGCACGTCAGCAGTCCTGTCAGTTTTATCATTAATCTTAAGCACAGGTAATGTCAAGGGAGCTCGCGGACTGCAGGACATTGTCTGCCCCCAAAAGCACACAAGCCTTTTCCCTCCTTTATCCCGTCCCCCAGCTCACTGTCCACAATTTTCCTGCCATTTCCCGCAACAGGCTTTGCCTGTAACAAAGGCTCCTGTTTCTCTCATCCAGCCCATCTTCTTCCCCATGTTACACGGTGCCTCTCCTCTCTTCTTCTAAAGGTGTTGTGGAAATAATACATTTTACTGACACAACACCTCCTGGGCAGCTGGTTCCTACAGCTGGGGTGCAAAAGGCAATAAAGATAAAACACAGCTCGGCAATGAATCACAAGCTTGAACAGATCTCGGAGGTCATCTAGTCCATCCCTCCGCCCCCGGGGAGGCTCAGCTATCCCCATGTCATTTCTTACAGACATCTATGTCACCTGCTTTTAAAAACTTCAGTGATAGAAACTACACAAGCTCCCTAGGCAATATATCCCAGTGTTTCACCACCTTCACATAAAAAAGTTCAATCTTGCCTCACAGGTCACATTTTCTAGGCCTCAGGTCTTTCTCCTCTCCTTCTGTACAAGTCGCATCAGGTCTTTTCTGTCTTCCCCACACAAACAACTCCAGTTAAAGCAGTTTCCTTCAAAAAACACTTCTGAAAGCGATCATTGAAAAACTTACTGTATATTGCTGCTGGAATTAAATTGCCTTTTTGCATTGTGCAACCGTAAAATACTTTTAAGACTTACAATGACAAAATTACTCAAGTCCTGCTTGTTTTAACTCCATTGGTTTTATTACAGATATGCATATGTAACAGGAGAAACAAGTCCGGGTAGCCGCTGTTGTCGTATGTGTGTTTATAACGCCTATTACCAGAAACAGTATAGCATCAACAGTAAAACATCAACCATCAAATCAAGGAATTTTTGAGATTTAAAAACCAATTCTATTTTCCATAGTCAAGGTAAAGTCACGTTTGATACAGATAACCCCAATGTTACAAAATAATGACCTATCAAAGAGATTAAATTTGACTTTGCTCAAGTAAGCAGTTTTGTTAGGAACACGCTAGGTCCACTAGCGAGAACAGAGCAAATCAGATTTGGCTCGCAGTCTTCCTATACCCTGTGAATTCACATGTCACCGGATTTTTTTTTTTTTTTTTAAAATCACTGAAGAAGTCAGAGAGGAAGAGAACTAAAGCAATACTACAGTTAACTCAACATCATCTTAATTATTGTTGGCTTTACTTTCCTCGGGGAATAGAGAGGAAGAAAGTGCACATAAAGGTCAGCAATACCTCCTTTTGTAACTGAATTTAGTCTGCTGCATGGAGCAGCAAGGACAGACGACACCCCTTACCTAGATTTTAAAACTCTGAAAACAGAAGAGGAAATTGTAGTTATTCAGAGACAACAACGAAACAGGAACTTCTCTAATACACTGGATACAATATAAAAGTATTCCTTTGTTTTAAATAGTGGATTACAAAAGCCAAAGACCCCAAAAGAAAGACTTGGGTTTGGCCCCAATAAAATTATTTTCCAGTATAACAAAGCAACGCATTACTGCCTGCAACTGCATTTCTATATGTATGTTACTATCATACACGCAGCACTAAGCTATCATAGGATCAAATGCGAGGACTGTGAAAGGCCTTTACAGATGAGAAGTGTCAAAGGTTGTTTCATGGAGCCAAATCTTTAAACAAAATTAAAAAAAAAAACAAACCCAAAAACCAAAGCACATTTTAAGCACCAGTTTAGCTTACGTATTCATTATGCATTTTAAACAAAGTATATCAATAAGAAATTAAAATTTGAGATGGTCCTCTTTGAGCTGAAGGTGTCCCTGGAAAGATTTCACAGATAAATCCATTTCCTCGCGATTTTCATGATCTTTTAAAAGGTGTGGCAATGTCAGCTATAACAGATGTGAAGAATTTTATTACAGCTGACCAACTGAGCATTCCCAAGAAACATCACAGCCGGAGCTGAAGAACTAACACTTTGCTACTGAAGGTTTCCCATACTTCATCCACCTCAAAATCAGATGCCAACATATTTCATGATGACTTTTGATCACAGGGAGAATATAATACAGGCCAACATTGATATTCAAGGTATACTTTGACCCATTTCAGACAAGCCACTCCATGTGCAATCACAGAAGAACATCCAGTCCTTCTGATCAAAATATCAAGTGAAGATAAAATGTGAGAAAAATCTAAAGCTTGCATCAGCAGTGTCCCCAAAAATACGAAAAATGTCCCATCTAATTTTTAAAACACACGTAACATACAAAGGAGGAGAATATTGATTTGCAAAATCCAGAAGGGATTATTTTCCTCAGATTACAAAACTGACAGACTTGAAAGTCCAAATTTTCACATAGCTGCACATGCCCATTAAATATACATCTGAATCTCAACATGCAGCAAGTACACTGCAGTAATTATACCGTGCATTTTGCAGAATCTAAGGCATAAATTTATAAATTTAAAAGTTTCTTCAAATGTTATTACAGATGACTACATCTCAAAACATAAGTCATCATTCAGACAAAAAGCATTAATCAAAAATTCAAAACAAATTTAAAAATGCACTGAAACATGAACCAGAATGCAAAGCATGTCCTAAAGGCAAGATTAGCAAACAATTACACCAGCCAGTGGTAACAGTTACAGTACACAGCTTTTTAAAATTTTTCTTCTGAAAAATCTGCTTTGTTTTCCCAGTATGGCAAAATCATCCTGCTGTTTTCTACATTCTAAAAAAAATGCAAATTGTCAATAATCAAGAGAGCATCAGCTGATCACATTTCAGGATGCAGCATGGGAGTATTAAGTGACCGAGCATTGATCAAATGACGACAGAATCTGGAGACTGAGTCTCAAGTAGTATTGGTTGACCCTGATGTTAAGTATGTTCATATTATATAAGCCTATGCTGAAGTACTGTTTCTGCTGCTGGAAAGTGCTGTGAAAACTCTGCACACACAAATATATTTGCAAAGTCAAGCACCTACAAATACATTTCTCCTGTTCAGTCAATCAATCAATCACTCTTAAAATGGCCTGCTCTTAAACCAACTTTCTGGCAAGGAAATATGGATCAGTACCTGACCCAACCATTTCACTGGTCTCAAGGTAAATTCTCTCAGCATTTAATGTGTGTCACCTGCAGGAAAATTCCTTTTTATGTAATAAGCTACCAGCCATTGAACGATTTAAAAAGAAGGTACCTTTTCTTTTCCCATGTACATTGCACATACACAGAGGATGGGAAGAAGGCAGCAGTATTTCAAAAGATTATGCTCACATATCCCTTCTAAATGTATACCGTTCTCTAGGGAACAATCAACTCAGCAATGTCTGTGATGCTCGGGCTATAATTACCAAAATGAGATGCACAACCTTTATTACACCAGCAAACAGTTAACTTCACAGATTATTTCTCTTACTTTAGTGCTCTCAAATCTTTCACCTTTTTTTTAAGTAATCAGCTGCTTCCAATCTTCCACATTGCAGCTACTGTGCATTCAATGCCAGGTGCTGCACACCTCTCTAGCACAAACTCAGCACAATGCAAGACCTTCTTTAGCCCATATAGTTTCATATACTGCCGTGGCATGACAGAATGCCTTCTGGATTTAGCAAATTCAAACAGATTCTGTTGCTACATCACACAGAAAAATGCCTTGAAAGTCTCCCTGTTTAAAAAAAAAAAAAAAGAAAAGAAAAGAAAAAAAGGAACAGCCTACATCTCCAAACATGACAGTGCATTCCTGGCATAGAATATGCAATGCAAGAAGAGAATAATGACAGGATTTATGTTACCTTCAGTCACATAGTTGTGGTCTCGAAGAAAGCTGTGGTTAATTTTTCGTGTGTCCGTGTCCTCGCCCATTTACAGCAGGATTACTCAGCATGCCTATCCGCAGTGGACTGATAGCATCAGCAGAGGTCGTCACAAGAGCACCATCCATGCTGCCACTGCCTAGCAGAGGCGGAGAACACACTGGGCTACTGAGCACAGCATAATGAGAGCTAGTGATGCAGCACAGATTTGGGGGGTGAATAACGATCGGGGAAAAAAAAGAAAAAAAAAAAAAAAGAAAGAAAAAGAAGTAACGGGAGAAAGACGGAGGAAAAAACAGCTCCGACAAATTACGAATGCAGAAAGCCAGTAGGGAGCTTGCGTGAAGGGAATACAGGCACTTCTCCCGCAGTTAAAGAATAACCCAATTGTTTAGTCAGGTACTCCTTAAACAAGTGCCCACGCAGAGTCTCCTCCAAGTGCCTGCTGCTGGGGATCTTGCTGGATGCTGTAAAGTGGCAATCAGCGTACTGCAGCAAAACCCGCCCGGAGAAGGGCTCTGATTGCTGTTGCTGCTACTGCTGTCATACGCCTGTGCTGCATCAGAGCAGGCCCCTCCCAGTCAGCCGCTCGCTGCCCAACCGCACAGGATCTGCATGTAGTAAAGTGAAAAATGAGACTGCAGGTAATTATTTTAGCTCTTCTGCTGGTAAGATGGGCAATAAAAAAAATTAAGGGGGGGGGGGGGGGATGTGGGAGAAAAAACTTCAAGCTGCTTAAATGGGTTTGCATTGACACGTACAGCACACTAACGTGCGACCACAATTTTGTGCTAGTCGATACTGTCATATGCAGCAAAAGCAACAGTCGCTCAATGGCAACCTGTATAAATATTACTGAAATTGCCACATACCTGCCTATGCAAACAGAATCGTTAGAGGCAATGAAACCATTCAGGAAAAGTAAGACAAAATAGTTGTTATTTATCTTTTATTTTTTGCCAGTTTTGTAGATAAAAGGCAAATTACAAAGTATGAAAAAAATGACGTCCAGAAAACAATCTCTTGGGCTTCCCCATACAGGAAAGGAAGGCTGGACAAAGGGAATGTTTGCAGGTCATGGGGTTTTCTCGGACCTGCTACTTTCATTCACTGCGTTATCCCATCACCTTGAAAAAGCAATCTTGAAATCGGTATAGTCAGAAATAGGAAAACAAGTAGAAGAGGAAAACTACTCACTTGCATTATAAAACAAAGCTTGTTCTTTAGTCCAAGTGTTTAATGGCTTACATTACAGCAAAATTCTTTCAACTGAACAGACAAGCAGTTTCCTTAAACTTTCAGTATCTGTTCATGAAACCATGAACTGTTTGCTGCAGAAGGCATGTATTCTGAAAAGGTATAAGCACCGCTGAAGTTTAGAAATTTGAATAGAAAACAAATGGCTGTGTACCAAAGCTACCACTACAGCATGAAAAGGGAGTATGCAATCACAAAACCAATTTAGAGGACAGAAAGATGGTCCTGTGGTTTAGGCCCTGGAATTGAACACAAAAAAATACAATTCACTTGTCAGCATTACTACAGCATTTTGTGTAATCCTGCATGAATCTTGCACAGTTTTTTGCTTTTGTGTTTGTTTCTTTTTAATTAAGCTAGGACGTATGGTTCTTGAAGGTAAATTCAAGTACCCTGCTATTACTATAAAACAGGCATGTGGCTCTGAAAAAAAAGTAGAGAACTATGTAAAAACCTGTCCAGGGATAAACATCTAATTTCAGGATGAAGTAAGGTTGGGAGAGACAGAAGAATAGCAATGGGATGACCTTCTTCCCTTTCTCATTGATGAAGCAAAATAAAACAGAACCATCTTCAACCTGACAAGTATATATTATAAAATCTTCACATTTGAGAAGGTGGGAAAGTAAAAGAAGTTATTCAATACTTGCACCTGTACAGAACACATTTTATTTACGTGCAGCTTTTGTAGGTGACAATACTAGAGATGTTATTGCTGCATTGAGAGCATCAGTCAATACTGTGGTGGTACCAGCAGTGCCTGCCCTATCCTCTTCAGTCATTTGCTGCCTTTGCCCATGCTTCCTCATGTACCAAATCCTGTCAGCTTCAGGATAGCCTGTCCACTTACACACTGGTACCACCAACTTTTCAAGGCTGTGCACAAAACCAACTCTCTTTCTCAATTTAGAGGGTAAGCATGCCGGCAGCAACACCAAACAAACCAGGACCTGCTGCCTCACGATCAGCAACGTTTTCCTTATGGATATGCATGCCCTGGGACATAGCTGAAGCCTTAGGTACAAAGTGGTATCCCAAAACAAGGATCCGGTCCTGCCAGCAGCTTTGGGTGGACGATAGTGAATGCTATTATTCTGAATTTTCTACTTGGTTATTGGAAGCAAGTACAGCATAAATACTTGATGACAATACTAGCTACAGTTCAGAAAGTAACTGTGAGAACCTGTAAATATAATGAATGAGAAAATATACCTAGAATTTCATTGAAACGAGGAAGGAGGCCTTGCAAATACTGATATTTAATTTGTATAAAATGACCCTAATCTATGTGATGGAGCTGGTTTACTTTGCCCTTCCCTGCCACCTTGTTTTATCGTCTTGGGTTTGTTCTTCCAAAGACAAAAGGGTCTGTGAGCAATACACACTGCACATGAAATCCCGACTCTGCTGAAGACAGCGTCAAAGAGTACAACAAACAGCAAGTTTACGCTCAGCTGTTTAATGCCGCAGTTAGACCAGTCTGGGTCAAGAAGGCACTTCCCTTCAGCATCTGTGCAGGAGACAGTCAAACTGTCTGCTCTTAGAAAAATAACCTAGATGCTTCTGCTAGGAACCTAAGCCCCCTGTATACGCACTGTAGCTTTTGGAGAGCAGTTAAGAGCATCTGAATCAGAAACCTCTCTTTCTCCCTTTTGTGTATTGGATGCTTAAGTTTCTCAGTCAGGCACCCATGTTAGATACCCAGCATTAGAGAGCGTGGATTCCCCTGTGGAGGTAACACTGAGCAGCTTTCTCCCATTGCTATGATGACTGGTGAAACTCGAAGAAATGTCACCTTGCAGGGCATTCGATCCCAAAAATCAAGCAACATAGTTGAGTAAAAATGCATAGGAATAATTTATATCTACAAACATATGGAAAATGAACATGTTTTCTCTCCTTTCCAAGAAAAATAATTATGTGGAAAATCTATTATTGAAAATAGATAGATAATAAATTATGTGAATGATGTGCAAAGTCTCAAAAAAGCCATGCTGACAGTCTGTGAAAAAACACTGCAAATCATTTTCTTTGTAAATACCTCTAAATTTCTGTGACCAGGGTATCTGCAATTTCTACAGTGCTGGAGAGAACGTTCCTGCCCTTCCACAGAAGCTCAGCAATCATTGCCCTTTATTTGTCCTCAGTCATTTGAAAGTTTATGAGTTCTGTGGTCTATCATTTTGAGCCTCTCCCCCTTATTTTTTAGGTGTGATTTAAGCAGTTAAAGAGTGTTTCCATTTATTCTAGGAGCCAGGTGGACTTTTTTTTGTGAAGTCAAAAAAATAACTCCCAGCCAGAGATAATATCCTCCTCTCACCACCTGAATTAGAGAGGTTCATAGACAACTTCCTTAGGCATCACATCTGGGTCAGATCATGCTTACCTTGTTCTTCCCACTTTTAAGTTAAAAAAAAAAAAAACTCACAAGGAGGAATGGAATGAGGAGGAAGCCTTTAACAAAAACAATAGACTATTCCCTGTGTGCATGCAAATGCTTTCCCCAAGATTATGAGCCAGATCCTTACTGTGTAGCAAATATTAGTAGTCCACTGACTTAAGTAGGTCAGTTCATATGAGAAAGATTAGCAAAAATCTGCTCTAAATTTGTAGCGCAATGCAAATTTGTGAGACAAGGTTTGCAGATAACTAGCTGTGCCATTTTAAAATGCTACTTATTATCAATCCCACTGATAACCTACCTCATTTGATCCGGCCAAATATCCAGGGACAGAGTGGGGGGAAAGGAACCTTTGATCAAAAACATATTAGTTATTTGTACTTTCATGGTAGTTCACACTCCTACTCATAAAACAACCCACTAATTGAGCTGAATACTGTACAAACACAGAAAAAAAAAAAAAGTGCCCTATCCTAAAGAATTTACAAGCAAACCATAAAATGGAAGAGCGACTTACAGATCAGCAGAGACATTTATATAAACAGTGAGTCAGTAATGAGGATGGAGTCCTGGTTTTGAGCTTTCTTCAAAAGGGCATTAGAGACCTTGTGGAGAGCAGCAATAAACAAAAACTGCATTCAAGAGGCTGAAAAATAACTGCATAACAAGAATAGAGCGAGCTTAGAGGTAAAAGAAGGAAGACTGGCTAGCAGGTCAAGAGCTTTTTCTTTTTTTTCTTCTCCCCAAAGATGGAAGAGACTAAGCATATTAAGATGCATTCTAAAGAGTAAGATGTTCAGTGAAAGTGTCAGTGGAGAGTGAGAGGTAAGGAGGAAAGTAAAAGACAAGGAGGAAAGTAAAAGACAAGGGCAGGCGTGACACAGATGCCAATACAGACTGCGGGTGTCAGTAAGAAAATAGAAGAGTTAAAAGGAGCACAGCAGACAAAAACTGGATCTGTGCCAGGAGGAGAAAAAACAGACAGGATAGGGAGAGAAAAAAAATTTGGAGGAGAGGAAGAAACCTGTATTTTACTTTGTCAGAGTTTTGGGGAGGAGGACTGGAGAAAGGGGAAGGTAGAGAAAGAAAAAAAGAAGGAGCCAGAAATTGAAGCAGGAGGCAGCCAGTACCCTGAGGAAGGAATCAAAACTAGCAAAGATACAAATGGGATTGAGAATGTAAGATTTGCTAACAGTGTAGCCTAACAGTGGTAAGGAACTGAAAAAGATGAGAACAAATCTGAATGACTTGATCACACTTGCTCTTTGCATTTCCATCAGGAAGCTCTGCAGCATGAGAAAGGGAAGAATCAGGTGTTAGAAGGCCTGAGGGTTCCTGTGTTGTCTTATTTATAGGCACCTGTTGAGCGCACGGCCATCCTGTTTTGCTCCTGCAGAACGTTTTTGTTCTTCTCTTAAACATATTCCCACAAAAAGCTTCTATTTAGCTTTGTTAGACACTTAT